CCCCAGCATAAAGGGACCTTTTTACTAAGTTGTCCTGCAGTTGAAGTTAACCATATAGCCATCTGTATAGCTATGATTGTTGGCTCTTATGACAGGACCCTTATTCTTACTTAACAGGGGTTTTATTAGAGTTTGTAGTGGCATTTTTAATTTTTTTGGTACCTGGAATCAAACTTAGCACCTTGTACTTACCTGGCAGTTGCTGTGCTGCTGAGCTGTATCCTTGGCCCTGTAGTGGTACTTTTAGAAAAAACTTGGTTATGTCTAGGATCATTAAGGGTGTAGTTTATAGGCTACTCAGTTACCTTATAATGGTTGGGTAAACTATGAACCACTGAACTGTTTTGTATCTCCTTAATGTAGTCTTATAGCTTATTTTAATTATCTCTTTGAAGTAGGCATACTGACCAGGGAAGTCCTGATGTACTTGATAAGGGAAGCAGTCCACATACCTAGCAAGATGTTTGTTATAATGGCTCTGCATATCTTATGCCCACAGTAGAAAGGAATTGTATTCTCCTTTAAGTGGTAAAGTAATTAGTAAGAGGGCTAAGAGTAACATCTTAGATTACTTATCTGAAGACTTTGCTTTTCTTTTGTTCTGTTTTGAACAAGAATTTTAAGTCTTCTGTGGGTTCACAGGAGGTTTTGGATGGTTGCTTATATTCAGCGACAATCTCTGGTTCCCAGGGCTTGAATTGGGCATGGTGTATGCAGGAGTCCAGACCTGCTACCTTGACAGCTGATGGATTTGACGGGATCACAGTATATGGTCCTTCCCAAGTTGGTCCTCAGGAAAGAGATGATAGCATTATCAAATCTCTGGGGTAGAATATGGGATTTTCTTTTTTTAGGCTGAGCTTTTGTTAGCTGTTGAAGAGTCTGTTGGAATTTAGCTAGTGAGTTGACATCTTTTAGTAAGGCATCTGTTTTTCTATTGAAGAGAAAATCATTAGTGAGAAAAGGGCACCTATAAAGCATTTTAAATGCACTGAAGCCTAGACTGTGAGGTGTATTTCTTGTTTTGATAAGAGCTAACAGTAGTGAGGCCACTGTAGATGGGTTTTTTGAGCCGTTTTGTGAAGAAGATGTCTCTTTCTTTTTAAAATCTTTTTTGATGATTGTGGCCTCAGTGTACAGTGAAGGTGGTAGAGAATACCCAGTGCCCGAGAGACACCCTCTGTGACACCCTGTGTGATGGTTGCTTTTTAAAAAAAGGCCCATTATCACTCTGTAAACTCTTAGGAAGGATAAATCTAGGGATGATTTTTGAGACCAAAACTGTTACCACCTCTTGTGCTTTTTCTGTTCTATAAGGAAAGGCCTCAACCCAGTTTGTGAAAGTATCTCTCCAGACCAATAGATACTGGAGCCCTTTATTCTTTGGCATATGAATAAAGTTGAGGTGCCAGTCTTTTCTAGGGTAGCTATTATGTCTCTGTATACCTGGAGGGGCTATGGTATGGCTAAGAGATTGTTTTTTTTGTGTGTGTGTGGGGGGCAGAGCTCATGTCTCTTAACTCTGTTGTATTGTCTGAGAAAGTCCTTTTTCTGTGAATAACTTTTAGGCCATCTGGTGGGTCTTGTCTCTCTCCAAGTGGAAAGGTTTGATGTGAAGGCTTAATAATTTTCCATTGACTAGTGCCAGGAAAGAACAATTTACCATCATCTGATTGTAAGCATCCTGATGGAAGGAAGTAACACCCATAGGAGAGAACCCTTTTGATTTCTGACTGAGAATCTTTAGATCCAGTGTGATCAAGGGACCCTTCCAAGATCAAGAGTACTGAAGGGAGGACCCTTGAGTGGCTTTTTTTGCAGCTGCTTCAGTCAGTTGGTTACCTTGAAATATTTTGTCAGTTTGTTTTTGGTGTCCTCTGTAGTGAATTACTGCCACTTTGGAGGTCATATAGACAGATGATTAAAGTTTATCTAGCTCCTTATGGTACAGTATTAGAGATACATTGGCTATAAGGTAATTTCTTTCTGTATGGCAGTGTGGGCATGTAACACTAGGAAAGCGTACTTTGAATTAGTGTAAATATTAACTTTTTATTCTTTACTGAGTTATAAAGACATGGTCAGAGCTGTGAGTTTTGTTACCTGAGTACTAGTCCCAGTGGCAAGTGAGGGACTTTTAAGCATCTGATGTAGCGTCACTACTGCACATCCTGCCTTTCTTATCCCATTTTCCCTGAAGGAGCTGCCATCCAGAAGAGGGTCAAATCAGGTCAGTAAGGGGTGTGTATAATGAGTCTTTTTTGACTGCATTTGTGTGGAGAATTGCCTCTTCACAGTCATGTCTTTTAGTTTCAGTTTTTTTCCTTTCTTGGTAGAAAGATGGCAAGGCTTAAGGAGGAACATGTCTTTATTTGAATGGCTAGTCCTTCTAGAACTAAAGCCTGGTATTTAAGAAGTTGGTTCTCTGAGGTCATAGGCTCCCTTTGGAAGAAAGAAGTCCTGCCATATTGTGAGGTGTATATACCATGAGATCTTTGCCTGAAGTCAGGTGGATGCCTCTGGTACCAGGAGAGCTACAGCAGCCACAGCTTTAAGTCATGCAGGGCATTTCTTTGCTATAACGTACAACTTATGACTCAGATACCCAAATGGTTGCTGAGCAGCAGCAACCAGAGCAAAGCAATGCCCTGTCTCTTTCAAGGTATATTAAATGGTGTCTTGTTGGTAGGCTCAGTGCTGGGGCATTCAGAAGTGCTCGTTTAAATTTCTAGAATGCAGTTTGGGAATTAGGTTCCCAGGTGAAAATGTGGGTATCTGTCTTTTGGGCTTCATTCATTAGCTAACACAGGGGTTGTATAGTCTCACCACATCTTGCTATCCAAAAGTAACAAAAACCTGTAATTCTTAGGAATCACCTTAGCTGTTTTAGGGTCTTGGGTTGTGGGAAGGAAAGTATTGATTTGATTTTCACTTAGCCCAGCCTTTGGGATCTCTTAGATATGACAGGGCTTGCCTCAAGGCTGCAAAGTTGTATCTTAGACCTTAGAGACTTTAGAGACCTTAGAGCTTCTGTCTATTAGAAAATTTAGCAGAGCACAGGTGTCTTGGCTAGAGAGCTCTTTTCAGAGGGCACATAAGAGTATGTCATCTACATATTGCAGGACTGTGACTTGGGAAAATTTAGAATATGCCATGTTGTTGGAAAACACTTGCCCAGAAAGATGAGCACCGTGTCTGAATACTTGAGGAAGCACCATCGAAGTCAGTTGAAAGGCCTGGTTGTGAGTTTTAAAGACAAGAAGAAGCTGGGGATCTGTATGTAAAGGAATAGCAAAGAAGACATCTTTTAAATCTAACACTGAAAACCAAGAAGCATCTTTTGAGATCTGAGAAAGGAGAATGTATGTGTTAGGTACCATGGGGTGGATTGGCACTATCCCCTCATTACCAATCTAAGGACCTGTATTAACCTGTATTTTCTGTTGGGTTTTTGAACTCTCAAGATTGGAGTGTTGTAGGGGCTGTTACCAAATTTAAGTAAACTTGTGCTCTTGTTGATTATAGGTAATAATTCTCCTTTAACTTTAGGCTTTAGAGCGTTTTGTTGCTGGTGAGGGAAAATACTAGGATCTTTGAGTTGTTATTTGTACCAGGGAAGCTCTTACTGTTCTTATCTTTAGTTGCCTATACTTTAGGATTTATTTTTGTCTCCACAAGGGGGAAGCAGTGTACCTGACCTGTGTGTATGTATATATATTACAATATTTAAGCAAGATAAGACATCTCTCCCCAGGACGGGAGCTGGACATTCAGGCATAATTAAATAGAAATGGGAGAAGAGGAAGCCATCCCAGCTATAGCTTAGGGATGAGAAATAGTGAGAAATAGTGAGTTACCTCCTTTTCAGTGACTTTTTTTTTAGTGAAGTGTGTTGGCTGGAAGGAAAGCCAGGGTTGAAAAGAAGGACTGAGAGACATGTGCAATAGGCTTTTTTTTCCCCCACTACAGTGATGATTAGTTGGGGCTCTTCTGTGGAGATGATAATCTGGGCAGACAGAGAAGGCAGAGAATGCCATAGGGCCTTTCACTGTTGCTGGACCAGCTGGTGAGATGCGTCTGATCCTTGGGACCTCTGTTTCAGGGGGCAGTCCTACTTCCAGTGGTCACCTTTACAATCAGGGCATGGCTCAGGGGTCCTCTTGTTGTGATGGTTTTTATCACAGTCCCTGACTTTTTGCAGCATTAACAGATGAGTTTAGTCATCAAGCTCATTTTGGAGCCCTGGGAATCAGACTTAGAGTCTGTTTCTTTTAAGGCAGCAACTAAGGTATCACTTTCACTTGGTCTCTTAGTTTTCTCACCTTGGCTTCCTCCTGGTCTAAATTATAAAATACTGAGGAGGCAATTTTCACTAAAGTATCAAGTGAGCTATCTGGAGCAAGACTTATCTTTTGAAGCTTTTCCCTAATGTCTGAGGCTGACTGGGTAATAAACTTGTCTTTAAGAATAAAGTGTCCTTTTATCGAATCAGGAGCCAGGGATGTTTCATCAGTGCCTCTTGTAAATGATCTAAGAAGGCAGAGGGGTTCTGATCTTTCTCCTGGTGAATAGTTGACAATTTGAAACAATTAAAGGACTTAATTCTTGTCTTTCTTAAGCCTTTAAGAATACCTGTCTGAAGATGATTCTTATTCTAGTTACCTGACTGGTTGGTAGGCCAGTAGGGATCTTGTGTAGGGACTGTGCTCCAGTAGGAACTGGGTTTTTTCCTGGCTGGCTGTCTTTTGGCCTTTTAAAATTAACAGTATGATATTCACCTCCAAATGTAATAGCTTGTAGTGCTGCTTATCTCTCATTAGAAGCCAGTGTTTGATTTAAGAATAATAGTATTTTTCTAACCTAGTTCTTAGGTGTGAGTAAGTCCCCTAAAGACCTCAGTGTATTTGTCAGGGTCATCTGAAAACTTTTTTAGATCTTCTTTGATCTGTTTGAGGTCACTGAGAGAAAAGGACACGTGGCCATGGTAGTGTCATACTCACCATTTACCTCGTGTAACTGATACTGTCCTTGACAAGCTTGAAGAAAATCAGCTAAGGATGAGTATAGTCCAATAGAGGCTTCAGTTATGGCTGGTTTAGAAGCCTTGCCCTTAGGCTCCAAAGGGCAAGTGGGGGGAACCTCAGGCTCAGTAACAGTGGATGAGGTTTTGATTAAGGTTGCCTTGGAAACCTCATTCTCAGGCTAATAGTAGATGAATCTGAATGTGCCTTCAGGGCCAGAGGTGTCTTTTTTTTTTTTTTTTTTGCTGGCTTACATTTACATTTTGAACAAAAGTAAGGATTATCTTTTAATGTAAAGAAAGCCTGAACGTAAGGTCATTCTAACCATTTTCCCCTTTCTGTTACAATACAATTCTAGTTGTGAAATAGCATCATAATCCATACTTCTCTTTACATTCCATTTTGCTCTAAGGGGTAGGTTGGCTATGTGTGGGTGTAGAAAAATATTAAACACCACTTTTTTATGTATGAGGGTTAAACAATTTCTGAAGGAGTAAGTGAATTTGACACTGAGTTCCCCATCAGTAACACAAGAGAAGAAAGAGGCATCCCTTTAAATCTCTACTTGGTTTTAATATCCTTCAAGGCATGCCCTGAGGTGACCTGCTCCAGAGTAGGTGGCTACTGTCTGAAGAGTGACTAGAATAAAGTCCGGCTGGACTAGCCACCCATATCAAGGTGCATCCCTATGTTTTCTGGGAACTCACATCTCTAACTCCAATATGTGTTTTCAAAAGCACAAGATACAGTTGCTTCCAACTGTAACAGTCATGGTTAAAGAAGGAAGCATTGGAAGCAAAATTAAACGAATAATCAAGAGATTTGAACAACTGCTTTTCAATTCTTTGAAAGAGTGTGAAGAAAAAACAAAATCAAAGGATAAATTGGAAGTGGTTGGAGCACCTCCCAACTTGTAAAAGAGATCACCTCTAGAGATAGATAGAGGCAAGTAACAGAAAAATCCTACCTGGACCCTAGGGGAAAGATGTTCCCTAGACATTTGTGCTGTCTGCCTAATCACCTAGGTAATCTTCCTTAGCAACACACTTATGAAGCTCACGGGTTAAAACCTGTACCCTTTGTCCAGCAGCTACAACTTACACATTAGTGAAAGTATTTTCCTGTCTTTGGCTTTAACAAATGTTCATTTTCTATGGGCCCAGCTTAAAAGTTCTTATTTGTTGGATGGGAGGGGAACATTGAGACAGTTTAGAGTTTCTTTTTCTCTAATCTTTAACAGAAACATGCCTTCAAAAAAGGAAAGTACCGAGTGACAGGAAAAGATGAGAAATGAGATCATAAAAAGGAAGTCTTTTTTTTCATGCTCACGGTGAGTTATTGAGACAATTTGTCCAATTTGTTATACTCTCAGCCTGGAAAGGCGAGAATGGGGAATCTCAAGAGTTAAGATTGCCTCCTTACCGGTGGTAGAGAGACCAGAAAGGACACTGAGGCGGAATAGGCTCGACATCCCCTCTAAAGTGTAGAGGGGGATCAGGCCAGACTGTCCCAGTGAAGCCTGTCCTCCAAAATGGCTGCCAGCCTGTTCCTGTTTACTGGCAGATGGAGTCCCATGATTTATTAAAAGGCATCTACATTTTCTAAATATACACTAGATTTTATAAATTCACATTTTAATATTAAAGTCTACTAAGAGACGCTTTAACATTACCTTTCCTAGCACTGTTGTCTAACAAATCAAACGGGTCAAGCTACTCAGTGTAGCAACTAGCGAGTCCAAATGCAGCATGTACGAAACAGGAATACAAGATCTTGCCTACAAAAGTAAAATGTGCCGTCAAGGAAACACCACAATCTTCCCATGTTCTCAATTTAAATTTATCATCATTTTAACAAAGACAGTGTGTAAAGGAATGACAAGACATAAAAGTTTAAAGTGTAAGCAGTTGACAAGCAACAACTTTTGATTACCTAAATGAGTAACAATCTAGAATCCATGAAAGAAAAGCAAACTGTTTCCTCTTTCCAATTATCTCAGTTGAACCTCCAAATGATTTAGGGGAAATAAATGTAACGCCCAACATGCTAGATGTCCAATACACTGAGTTTATGTTCCACAAACTCAAAGAAGGAATTTTAAGAAACAACAGAGGGTAAGAGTAGGAAAATTTAATTTAATTTAATTTAATTTAATTTAATTTTATTATTATTATTTTTTTTTGGTTTTTCTCCGGTACCGGGAACCGAACTCACGACCTTGCGCTTGCCAGACAGGCGCTTTGCCACTGAGCTAAATCCCCAGCCCCTGGAAATTTTATTGAGAGAGACACCTGAGAGAGACAGGAGAGGGCCCAGGAGAGGACCCAGAAAATGGCTTGCTGCAGATCCCACTTTACAGAGGGAGTTTTATAAAGCAAAATTACGAGGTGGATGTAAAATCACGAGGTGGGTGCAACACAGGACAAAACTATGACCAACCAATAAGATTATGAGTTTAGCATTTAGGTAATAGTGCTGCAGTGGGGAAGCAGGTCATGTAGCAAGTGTGTCTGGAAAGAACCAGGGCCTTTTAGGAAGAGATGAATCGGGGTTTCAGCCACTCACTAGTGTGACTGATGTTAATGCTTATTTATTGTTTATCTCTTGGGGAGGCAGGGAGGCCTGGTCATTGTGTCTTTATCTTGAGGCCTGGCCTCCAACAGATGCGCCTCCTGCCCCAGGTGTAATGTATTTTTATCCTGTGCATTGACTCCCTTGAGGGCCCAGCCCTTTCTGACTGCCTATAACATTTCTACCTAGCTTAGCTGTATAATACTTTGATTTTTGTCAGTAATTTCACCTATGGAAATTTTTTTAAAGGTAATGAGACTTTGACAATCAAATGATTAAATATAATCACCTAGGAAATATATCTGTGAAAAAAGAGAACTCATTGGTCCTGATATAACAGTCATTGTTAATCTTAAATGCTATATAAAATTTAAAAACTAATTTTTCTTGTCAATTACTAAACTCATCAGAAGTGAAACCATGACTGTTCTAAGTCTTTTAATAGCCACCGTTTTGATTCTTATCTAAAGCCTTTGTAATCAGATTCATGGAAAAGACTCAGAATTGTACGGATGCTAAATTTCTTTTGCTCTGGTTGGTTTTATTTTATCCTTTCCTCTTAAAACTTTGTAACTTGTCTATTGAAATTCTACAGAAGTACAACTCTTAAAGAGGTCTGAACAATAAAACAAAACAAAACAAAACAGATCTGATCCCATGTTGTTTTGAGGTATTGACTAACACAAAACAAAAATCAAACTTAGCAATGGACTACAAGTAAACTTGGCTTAGGAACTACTTTTTGAGAACCTATTTGTTGCTCAAAAATGACTAAAAAGGGGCTTTTAACACTGACTCTACAATGTCACCCCCGCCCCACATTCAGTGTGGGACCAGAGAAGATGGTTTAAAAGACTGTGGCTATTAAAAGACTTAGACCAACGTTTTGGCCAAAAGGGACGATGGAAACAGTGATTGATCGGCGATATTTTCAGAGAAGCTCACAAAGACAAGGAGGGATATAAGGAAAGCATGAGAGCTGTTAAAATCATGATGCAGTCACTTGTGTCAGCCCTCCCAAAAGAAAAATCCATCCCAGAGATTTTAAAAATGGTTCTTATTTATAAGTGCCTGATGATAACTGCCACAGAAGTCTTGCCAAAAATCATGTTTATCCTGAGTGAATTTAAGCATCATCTAACAGGCCTGACCGAACATAATCAACTTTTCACAGGTATACTTCTGTTTAATATGCTTGTGCATTTTCTCTTCACCAGGTTACAATCCATCAAAGTCTATGTTTGTTTTTCTGACAGGTCAAATAATGTTTTCTGCAGTTACAGATCCCCATCAACGAGTTTAAGTTGTGTCTGATGCTACCCCCTATTTAAACACTGAATATGGAATTGGTGTTCAGGCTTCACATAGTGGAAACAGCTTTTCATGATAGAGATCATTGTTGTACTGATATTGGTACTTTAACTGCTTATCTTAGTTTGTACTTTCTAGGTTTTCTTGTGCTGCATGCCAACTGAGAACCACAGATCATAGTTTTATTTAACAATGATGACTGCCTATTTAGACAAACAGCCTAAATGTATGCCCGCTTCTCTCCCAACTAGCAGTTCAGCAAAACAAATGCTGGGCTTCCACTTCATCCCTTCTTAGCAGGAAGTAGGCAAAGATCGACAACAACATCTCGTCAGTGAATTGACTTTTCTAAATGTCGGGGCGGGGGCGGGAGGGGGGGAATATGTGGAGTGTCATGGTTATTTTACCTTTTTTTTTAAAGGCCCCATTGCTGGTGAGTGGTGAGTCTACAAAACATGAACCTTCTACTTATAAGTCACGCCTATGAACCACACACATACAAATATATTTAAAAAGAAATCTACATATTATTACTGGATGTTCTAACTGCTTGTCTTGTCTTAAGGAATACCATTTCTTCAATCCCAATAGGTCAAAAGTCCCTTTCAAGTACAAACATATTTTATTTTGAGCCTCTTGACCACTAACATAAGTCAGTCTTTACGCATTTGTCAATTAATTTTACCCGGAGGAACTGTTTCTAGCAATGCCAAGGGCACTGGGCCCTGTTGAATAGAAATATTATGTCAGTCTTCAAACAATACCTGCTGTCCTTAGAACTGAAATGAATGGACAACAGAACCCCCATGACCTGATGAGAGCATTGGTGAGATGATGTGTCCAGATCTCATGTTAAAGTCAAATGTAAAAATCTCAGCCTTTCACCCTTATGGTAAGGTCTTCTCTTGGACTAGCTCACAGTTCCTTTCAGTGTTATCAATCAACACGTAAATTTTTCTATACTCTTTCACTGTTGGTAAATTCCTTTTATCACCCATGGCAGTGTTCTCTTATATACTGCACTTTGCACGGTGTAAGGGGCATCCAGATCTCATACGTGACTTTCGTTTTTGAGGATGAAGTGGAGAGAGGTATGAGAGAGGGAGGCAGATTCCTGGGAATCAGACAAGAATATTTCTTGTTTCCTTCCTAGCCAGTAAATGTGGAAAATGAGTATTATTAGTTGGATGAATGTCTTGGCATTCATCCTAACCATTGTTAGCAATTGAAGGACT